TCCTACTTTGCTGAGCTGTTTTTTCCAGGCAGGTGGTCTCCTGCTGGTTCCCCAGCCCTGGCAGGACTTTTCCTTCCCCTGGATGAACTCGTGAGGTTTCTGTTGGCCCATCCCACTGGTGCTGGTCAGGATGTGCCCTCCACATCCTGTGGTTTCTCCTGGAAAACTCCCAGTGCCTTGGCCAGAGCTCAGTGCAGTGAGGGCTCTGCTCCCTGCAGGGGTAACACCAGTGACAAACCAGCACTGGGGCAACTCCCGACGAGTTGGGGAGGTCCTGGTTTTTGGCAAGTTTAGAGGACAACATTTGCCCCAGCACCATGTGAGGGTGGACAAGAGCCCGTTCTGAAGGTGCACGGGGCCGTGGGGACATGGGGCAGTGGTGGCTCAGGTGGCTCCAGGTGACAACTCCTGCACCAAAGTCCATCCACTCCCAGGTTCCTCCATGGAGGAGCCCCAAAGGAAGAGGCACTTTCCCTTGTTTACCTGCAGAGTAGCCATGAGCCCAGTAGGGAGAGCTGGGTAATGAGCCTCAGAAGATTCCAGCTGAGCCTCAGAAGATTCCAGCAGAGCCTCAGGAGCCTCACGACGATTCCAGCTCTGAGCCAGGGCTTACTTGCTAATTTTGAATCTCTCCTTTGGGTGAAGTGTTCAAAGCAAACTAGTTCAATCCTGAGTGTGCCGGTGGGGTGGGTGGGTGCCCTGTGATGGGGCTGTTTGGAGATGGGCACGGGGTCCCTGCAAAGGCTGGGGGGGTTTGGGGAGTGATCCCAGCCCCAGCCATGTGTGGAAGGGTCTCTGCTCCCTCCAGAGCTGGCTGCAGAGTTACAAACAGCAGCACCCCTGAACTGCCACAGCACATCAGGGTCATGGAATCATGGAATCACAGACTGGCTTGGATTGGGAAGAACCCTGAAACTCATCCTGTTCCACCCCCTGCCATGGGCAGGGACACCTTCCAGTAGCCCAGAGTGCTCCCAGGCCCTTGGCTGGGGGCACTGGTTGGACTGCAGCTCCCTGGGCAGAAACCCCTCCAGGCCAGTGGCCATGCACAGCCCCAGCAGGAAGGAGCTGGGTGAGCAGGGACAGACTCCACGGCTTCAGCAAGTCCAGCACTGGCTGCACGGGCCCCAGACTGGACACAAACTCCAGCTCCCACCCATCCTCCTGCCTGTCTCCCTCAGCCCAGAACCTGCACCACCCTTCCCCCCACAGCCCCACCCCGGCCTCAGGCCACTCTCAGAACTAACGTTTAGTTAATTCCAAATAAATTATCGCTGTCCAGCACCATTTCCTTGTTCAGTTGTTGTGTACAACCTTCTTGGGACCTGCAGCACAAACGGTCCCGTTTGGCACCACCCAAACTCCAGATCCAGGGGTGGGGCTGGAGCTGCCACTGGAAAAGGTTTTCCCATTTTGCCCTGGCATTTTCAGGCCCTAAAACTTCCCTAGGCTTGAGCTGTATTTGGAGGGGGATCACTGATTTTTTACAGGGAAGTTTGGAGTTGGCTCCTGCTCTTCACGCCAGGAGCTGCCCCACAGACCCAGGGGGGCTGCACAGAGTCCACTCCCGCGGGGGCTGCAGAAACCCTCCGGCAGCAGGAGAGGGCTTGGGGGTCCCCTCGGGACACCCCGGGAGAGTCCCTGCCTGGCGACAGCGGGCACGGGGGGACAGCGAGGCGCAAACATCCCCCCCTCTGCAAAGGGCACAGCCAGCCAGGGGACAGGGACGTCCCAGCGCCCCCGTGCAGGGCTGGGGGCGTGGGGCAGGAGTTAATTGCGGGGGGGAGGTTTGTCTGGAAGGAGGGAGCGGGGACCTGCCTTCGCGTCCCTCCGCGCAGCACAGGGACCGAGGGTGCGGGGACAGCCACTGGCAGGACCCCAGGAGGGACCGAGGGGTGCGGGGACAGCCACCCGCCGGGTCCCCAGGGCGCAGCACCCGCAGGTCCCCAGGGCGTAGCGCCCGCAGGTCCCCAGGATGCAGCACCCGCCGGGTCCCCAGGATGCAGCACCCGCAGGTCCCCAGGATGCAGAGCCGGCAGGTCCCCAGGATGGAGCACCCGCAGGTCCCCAGGATGCAGAGCCGGCAGGTCCCCAGGATGGAGCACCCGCAGGTCCCCAGGATGCAGAGCCGGCAGGTCCCCAGGATGCAGAGCCGGCAGGTCCCCAGGGTGCAGCACCCGCAGGTCCCCAGGATGCAGAGCCGGCAGGTCCCCAGGATGCAGCACCCGCAGGTCCCCAGGATGCAGCACCCGCAGGTCCCCAGGGAGCGGTGACAGATCCATTAATTGCCCGGGCAGCCGCGGGGCGGGCGCGGCCGCAGCAGCGAGGCCACCGGCGCTCAGAGCTCCTCGCGCCCGCGCCGTTAATTACCAGCCGGCTCGTTAGCGCTAATTGGACTCTCCCAGGAAAGGAACGTGATGGAAAAAACATAATAAACAAAAAGTTCAGTGGCTTTTAACTTTGGCTTGTTGGAAAGCCCAGGGAGGGAAGTGAGTCAGCAGGGCCCAGACGGCGGGGAGGGGGACGCGCCCGCTTCCCGTCACCGTCACACAGCCCAAATCTCTGCCCAGGGCCGGGGGACGGCGACCGAGGCACGTGTCCTCAGGGTCCCTGGGCCCAGCAGTGCTCTGTGGCCAGCGCAGGGATGCTCCACCACAGAACATCGTGCCTGGCTCTGCTCGGGGGGCCGGGGGGTCCCACACACCGGAGCGACTGTTAACCCAAACCAGGGACTGTGCCCCCGCAGGGGACAGGGACCACTCCGTGCTCCACGCTCCACGTGCCACGGCCCCCCGGGAGCCACGGGAGCTCGGGCCAGGGCTGGGGGTATTTGGGAGCTCCCCCCTGCCCACGGTGTGTGCTGGGGCTGTGAGGGCACGGCTGGGGCTGTGAGGGCACGGCTGGGGTACAGCAGGCACAGCTCCTGGTTGCTGCCCTGGGAGCAGCTCCCCTGCGAATCCCTCAGCCTGTGCCTCACAAAACCTCCCAAACCTGGGAGGATGGACCTGCTCAGCACCACAGAATCCCAGGATGGGTGAGGCTGGAAGGGCCCACAGTGTCTCATCTGGTCCCACCTCCCTGCTTGAGCAGGGCCATCCCAGAGCACACGGCACAGGGTTGAGTCTAGACACCTCTGGAATATCTGCAGTAAGGGGACTCCACCCCCTCTGGACAATCTGTTCAGGGCTGGGTCACTGCCCAGCCAAGAAGTTCTTCCTCCTGTGCAGGTGGAACTTGCTGGGCATCAGTTCCTGCCCCTTCCTCTTGTGCCATTGCTGGGCCCCCCCGAGCAGAGCCTGGGCCATCCTCTGCCCCCTCCCTGCAGACCCCCCAGACCTGGGGGACGTCCCCTCAGTGTCCCAGCTCCCTCGGCCTCTCCTGTCACAGAGATGCTCCATCCCTTCAGCATCGGTGTCACCCTTTACTGGCTGCACTCCAGGAGCTCCACAGCTCTGCTGTGCTGCCAAGCCCAGAGTTGTGCCCAGCACTGCAGCTGTGCCTCCCCAGGGCTGAGCAGAGGGGCAGGATCGCCTCCCTGACCTGCCGGCAATGCTTCCCCGTGCCGAGCCGCCCTGGTGACGTGGCTGTGACAGCGGGCATGGCACTCGTGTGGAGCACAGGAGGCACCTCCTGGCCAGAAGGCAGCACTGCCACCTCCCTGCGCCGCCACCACCGCGCTGTCACCCCCCCTGCCGCCCTGTGCCAGCCCCCTGCACTGCCCTCTCCCTCGGTGTGTGCTCAGACCTCATTCCTCTGCTCCCGGGCCAGTCCAGAGTGCCAAGCCTTGCTTCCACGACTGCCTGCATTAATCCCAAAACAGGGGCTGGACCGGATCTTGGCAGGCCACAGGATCCAGTCCCTCTGCATTGTACCTCGGTCTCTTCTCTGTGCTGAACATCACCAGGTCCTTCAGCCTTTCCTTCTGGCCACCTTTTCCAAACCCCCGATGACTTCTGTTCCCCTTCTGGCTCCCTCTGGGCGCTGCTGGTCTTCTCTTGAGATCCCACTGGGACTCAGTGACAGATCCAGCCCCAGGGATCTGCCCTGTGCTGGTCAGACACCTGACCAGGTGCTCTCTAAACAGGTGCCTTTTCCAGTTTCCCTGCTTTGAGGATTGTTTGCCACAACCCCGTGTGGCCACACCGACTGGCATCACTGCCCTTCTGGTCTTGGCAGCGTGGTCGTGGGGGGAGCCCCGGTTACCCAGGGCTGCTGGAACGCTGGCATGTCCCAGCTTGCACATTTTGGGCCAGATCCCTCTCTTCCCATTCAAATGCTGAGAGAAGCTGGACAGCTGGCCCAAAGCCAAGAGCCACAGCAGCTGCTCACACTCTGTCCCCCCCAGAGGGGCAGAAAGTGCCTCTGAATCTGCCAGTGATGCTGGAATGTCCCGCTTGTCTTCAGCCACAGCTCTCACCCAGACACCTCCCTCCCTCTGCAGCAGTTCCTCCACTTCCATCACTTAATCAGAGTATTTGCTTTGGTTTGTTTGCTTATGGTTATATTTTTGAATATTTAAATATTTGCGCTACATTTTTGGTTATTTCACCTGACCCCTCCCCCTGCAGTCAGGAATCTTCCCTAGAGACTTTGGCTTTTTCCTTCTAATTTGATGGATGTTGTAATTAGGTTCCAGCCTGACTAACCCTGCTCTGTGTGGAATGGGAGGGGGTTGGTGTATCATAACCCCCCCTGCCAAATCAGGGCTGGCTTTTTCCCAGCTCGAGCTCCTCCATGACTCACCCAGTAAATCATGGACCCACAGAAGGTTTGGGTTGGGAGGGGGTGGACGAGTTAGTGTCTCCAGGTTCCATCCCGTCCCGTTTTCTACAGTCCTGGATTCAAAACTGGCAAGTCCCCCCCGTCCCCTCGCTGCAGCAGCTTTGGGTGAGGAGGGACCCAGCGAGGTCTCCCCTCTGCCTCCTCAGACCTCTGGACTCACACTTTTGGAGCCTGGAGGAGACATTGGCTGTCTCTCTCAGATGTTGAAGCAGTTCAGACACCTTTAATGTCTGTTATTTCCTCACACAGCAGCCGGGTTTGCTGAGATATCCACAGGCCCCTGCCCACCCCCTGCTCCTCCCCTGCCCCCAGCTGACTACTTTGATCTCAGAAAGGCCATTCCAAGCCTTCCAGCACTTCATTCCTGCCAGGCAGCTAAGCCTGGGCGTGATTAATGAGCAGTTCCGTGTCTCCACACCCACAAGGTGTTGCTGTGTGTGGGGACAAGGCTCGTAGGGAAGCAAGAAGGAGCAGGAGCCAACGGAGCTGCCAGATGAATATTAAACCCAAAGAGCTGCTCAGCAATATTTTATGTTTGTAGCTGAGTTTGACTTCAAATCCTGGGCAATGCAAGGACTCCAGGGAATTAGCATCTTCCCCCAGCATAAAAGCCTCATTTTTTATGGAGCACAAATGAGTTCTGGGCAGATGGGGAGGTCTGGGAGCATCTCTCTCTGTATTTGCCAGCTGATATTTCCAAGTGTCTATGGAAAGTTGGGAGGACTGTGAAGTGATACATTAAAAATTGTAATTTTTAAAATAGGAAAATAGATGGGAAAGGGCCTGGGAGGGGGGAAAGAGCTGCTTGTTTTCCTGCTGCATTGCGGCTGTGGAGTTAAGGATCTCCGTTAGGCTTTGCTGCCATAAATTAAGAAGCATCAAACAGAGAGAGATAAAAAGGCAAGGAAAAAAGTCAGAGATCTGACAGCTCCAAGTCAGGGCTCCAAGAGCAATCCCAGGCAGAGCCCACAGCTCCAGGATGGGGTGAAACCTGGGGCCAAGAGCTGCCAAGGGCTCACCCCAGAGCAGGAGGAATTTCGGGTGACCTTGGCAGTTGGACAGAGCCCAAAATCCACCACGGAAAACCCAGCCAGTGGCAGGGAAAGTTCCAGACTTCTTGGGGAAAAGCACAACTTCCAGAGGGAGAAGTCCCTGTGCAGGCAGCCACAGAGCCTTCCCAGAGGCACTGAGGAGTGGGGTCAGTGGGCAGCGCTCGGAAATCCCCTGGATCCTCGTCCAGGCGTGCATTCCCGAGGTCATGCTGAGCTGGGGCTCAAGAGCCAGAGGGTCCTGCCCATGCCAGTTCTCCCTGGCACTGCAGGGGATGGAGTCCCATCTCCTCTGTCACCCCACCAGCTTTCCCTTCCCTGGGTTCCCCACCAGCTTTACCTCCAGCATCACCAAACCTCCAGGCCATCACCTCTAGCTGCTGACCACCCCAGAACAGCTGCCAGCAGAGGATCCCATGGAAGTTGCAGTGTGGGATTGGGTAGGATGGCTGCTCTAGGTACATCCTGAAAAACAGAAGTTAATTTATTAAGCAGTTTTCTAACTCTGGGATAATTTCCCCAAGAAATGAGTTGAAGCTACAAGACAGAAGAGATCCAGTGTTGGGAGCAGCAGGAATACACAAAGATGCTCAATACCATAGGCCTGGGGAGAAAAACCTGGGAAAGGGTGTCCAGCCTGGGAAAGGCTGTGGTACATCAGACAGACAGCTGGGCACTTACAGGAATTACTGTGGGAGTGGAAAGGGCTGGTATTAACAACACCCAGATGTGATGAACTCAAAGCCTGCACTTTGCATGGATGTCTCCCACGCAGCTGGAGATGGGATAACCCCCACCTTTCACCCTCACAACATGAACATTGAGGGGCTGGAGAAGGAAAGGTGGCCCTAGAAGGGAAGGGAGCTGGGAAGGGGCTGGAGCAGCAGGAGGGGCTGAGGGAGCTGGGGGGGCTCAGCCTGGAGAAAAGGAGGCTCAGGGGGGACCTTCTGGCTCTGCAAGTCCCTGCCAGGAGGGGGGAGCCGGGGGGGGTCGGGCTCTGCTCCCAGGGAACAGGGACAGGAGGAGAGGGAACGGCCTCCAGCTGGGCCAGGGGAGGC